CTCCCTCACATTTTCCCTTGGGAAGCAGGACAATGCCTGGCACTCCTGTGGTGAGAGCCCTGAGGGTGACGCTGCCAGGCTGGYGCTGATTGACAGCTGTCAATCACTCACCTTGCTCTTCCCTGGGTGGATCTSAGGACTGGGGCGGATTTGGGGCTCAGACCCCCCTCCTCTATCCGGGTACCCCCTCCTGGGGTTCCTCCCGTGTCCCCTGCAGCACTCAGGGCTGTGGCAGGGACCCCCCCTGCGGTCCCCTCCCCTTTTCCGGACGGGATATCTTCCCTCTGCATCGGCTCCGGGGCCCCTGCGCTCCCCTTCCTCCCCTCCCTGGCTTCCTGCCCCCCCAGTGCCCTCCTCCTGCTCTCTGGGCACAGCCAGGGGGTCGCAGCAGAGGGGACAGAGCAGGGACASAGCAGGGACAGGCTGTCCCTAGCACGGGGGTCGCGCCACCCTGGCAGCCCGTGGGGAAGCCAGGAAGTTTTCCCCCTTCCCATCCTTCCTGAGTGCTTGCCGGTGTTTTTCCCAGTGTTTGTTCCTGTTCCCAGCCCTGGGGTCACTGCTCCCGTGGATTTCCTGGTTGTTCTTTGTCAGGGGGACCCCTGGGAACAGCAGGGGTGGCAGGTGAGGTGGCAGCAGCACCCWGGGCATGGGGTCYTTGGGGACAGAGCAGGGACAGGGGCCCTGGCACAGAGGTCCTGGCAGCCCCAAGGAGACCGGGAAGTTTTCCTCCTTCCCATCCTCCCTGAGCCTTTCCTGATCTTATTCCCAGGGTTTATATCTGCACCCCGCAGGCACAGATCCCATTGATTTCCTGGGATGGGACACCCTTGTCACCAGGGAATGACAACGGTGGCACCTCGGGGGTGGGGACCCATTGGGGGTCCCTCTGGAGCCAGGTCCCAGCAGGGCACAGCAACACCCCAAAGGCAAACGTCCTGGGAACGCTTATCAGCCCATCCTGCTGGGGCAGGGATCCCGGGGGACACGTGGCATGGTGCTGCCAGCGCCTGCCAGCTGTGCCCCGCAGCTGGTGAACGGGGACCGGGCCCTTTTGGGGTGCCCATGTGGCTGTCCCCCCCTGTCCAGCCCCCCCAGGGCCCGGGTGGTGCCCGCTCCGGCTGCGGGGCAGGTCCCTGCTGCTCCATTATCCGGGGGCAGGGTTCAGCCCGATAAGGAGTCGCTTTTGGACTCGGGCAGCAAACAATCAATAAGTGGCAAGCGATGGGCAGGAGAGATAAAGGCAGGCAGAAATCCCCCCTGGGCTCCCGCCCCGCCAGGCTCTCCCCAGCACCCCAAACCGGGGGGCAGAGCTCAGCTCTCCCACTGCAC